CAGCCACCACTGGCCGGGGGAATTGGCCTTGGGAAGCTTCACAGTGGCCCTGAGCTCAGGCACATACTTGTCATTCCTGGAGGGTTTGCTGGGGTGGCTCATGGCCTCACCGCAGCCTTGCGAGGGGGCGGTGGGACGGGTGCTTTGCCGGGAGCATGAGCTAAGAGAAACACCCAGCTGGGGAGAGACAGGGCTGTGGTCATCACATACACAGCAGCAGCTCAGGGAGCGAGTTCACAGAAGAGTCTGGGTTGGAAGGGCCCCTTAAAGGTCAAGTAGTCCGACCCCGCTGCAGTGAGCAGGGACACCTTCAACTTGTTCAGGTTGCTCAGAGCCCGTTGCTCAGAGCTCAGTCCAACCCGACCTTGAATGTTTCCAGAGGTGGGGCATCTACCACCTCTCTGGGCAGCCCGTGCCAGTGTTTCACCACCTTCATTGTAAAAAATTTCTTCTTTATATCTAGCCTAAATCTACCCGCTGTTAGTAAAACCATTACCCCTTGTCCTGCTGCAACAGGCCCTGAATTCAGGGCTTGGGGACACCACAAAAAGCCCTTCCCCTGCGAAACAACTAGGAGGCGCATCAAAGGCACAGCCTCTGCCCCAGCCCAGCCGCATGAGCTGCGCCAGCAGCGTGCCTTCTTCCATTTCCAGTGCTTGGAGAAACTGAGGCATGGAGGGGCAAGCCCACACTTCTGTCCTGCACGTGCTGTACCAATGCACGGACCCAGCGGCACAGCACGTGCCAGCAAACACGGCAGCAGTGCAGGGTGACGCAGGGCTGGGAAGAGGCCAGATGATTGAGGCGTCACCCAGCACGCAGACAAGGCGCCCTTGTTGGGCTGGGACACGCTCAGGCACCCAGCGAAGCGGTCTGAGCAGGGATGGGGTCTGGAGCAAGCTGGGGAAGAGGGGAGAGGTGCTGGGGGCATCCCAGGGAGATTACAGCCTCTCCTTATCCCCCAGCTGAGGGAAGGCACCATGGCCGCCATCGGCCCCCATGTCCTGAGCGCTGAGGATGAGGACTCCCCGGCAGAGGAGGTGACCTACTCCATCCAGTCCCCAGCCAATGGGAAGGTTGTGCTGAGGTCTGCGCCTGGTGCTGAGGTCCGGCGGTTCACCCAGGCCCAGATAAACAACGGTCTGATCCTCTTCATGCACCAAGGTAGGGCAGGGCTGATGTCACCCCTGGCCTGAGGGGGAACACCACTGGCAGGGAGCACTGTGCCACCAAGGCAGATGCTAACCCCATCGCAGAGCACCCCAGTCCAAACTGTGACAGGTTAATGGGGGGCTGCAGCCCCGCTGCCCCCTGTAAACACCCAGCTCTGTGCTTTCCACAGGGCCCCTGGATGGGGGCTTCGCCTTTGACCTAGGGGACGGCGAGAACCTGTCTCCTGGGCACTTCTTCCTCATCAGGGCCCAGAGAGAGCCCCTTATCAGCTTGGCCAAGAAACAGAGTCTCACCCTCTGCCCAGGTGGGTACAGGCACACTCCTTAACCTCCTGGTTCAATGGCAAATGGAGCCCTTGGTCCCTTCCACCACCCCCTGCCTGAGCGCTGCCAAGAGTTGCCCAAGGCAGAGGCTGCAGGTGGGTGGCGAGGCGATGGGTTGAAGTCCATGCTGGACATGTTTTCCAGGTGCCCTGCAGCCCATCACCAGCCAGAACCTGCAGGCAGTGAGCAACAGCCCTGCTGGCTCCACTGCTCTGTACTACAGCATCGAACAAGCCCCGCGCCTAGGCAGGCTGAGCACCTCTCGGGGGGAGGAAATCAGGAACTTCACCCAAGCCCAGGTGAGCTTTCACTTCCCTCAGCCCCCCGAGGCACAGCCCTCCGTCATCCCCACTGAAGCCTGGGGGTCCCAGCCCAACCCCTCTGTCACCATGGGCAGAAGCACCAGATGCCTGGCAGGAGGCAGAGCAAGCCTGCAGCTATGCTGTGACTTTCCCAGCTCTGCCAACTGCTGCTCAGAGGGATTAAGAGCTGCCGCCCCGGTGCCGGCTTTACCACAGCCACCAGCCTTGGATTTAGTGCTGGGGGAGGCTCAGGGAGTTATAATCCCCTTTTCTTAGGCTGCCTCCCTGCTGCAGATCCAGCCATCCTGGCTGCTGCCTAAGGCAAGAGCCAAGCACAATGCCTCCACCCCTGCTCCCAGAAAAGCCTTGCTAACCCCATTCTCCCACAGGGCCAGGCTTTTGCAGAGCACAGCAAAGGGCTCAATTCTAACCATCACTCAGCAGCATGCTACAAGCTCCCCTGTGCTGTGCTTACCCTTGGAGGAAACCTGGCCCAACTTTTGGGGGATGCTGAGTAGGCACAGCCCTTCCTCCAAGCCTCAATTTCCCTAATTGCTGGACAGAAACATCCTGGCAGAGAGGCACTGTGAGCTCTTGATGGCGGCTATCATGCCATAGCTGGTTATGATCCCTATTTCTTACCTAATTAGGGCTTGTCTGCTCCTTCCTGGAGCCAAGATAAGTCGAGGGTGCACAGGGTTTGCTCTGTGCCCATCACACCAGAGATGAGACAGATGCACCCATTTCCCCCATGATATCACTCACTCCAGGTATTTATTTTGCCATTTAGCAGAGCTCATTGAGGGTTTTTTTTTTTATTTTTAGGTGGACAGTGGGTTGATTTTCTACCAGCACAAGATGCCAGAGAAGCCCTTCTGGCTCGCCCAAGATGCTATCCGCTTCCGTGTGGTTGCTCCCACAACTATCTCAGATTCCTTCATCCTCCTTGTGCTGATCTCCTTTGAGGCCAAGTGTCCCCAGCGCCCAACTCAGCTGTGGAGAAATGCAGGTAAAGAAGGAAGGGAGAAGCATGGGACAAACAAGCTCTCCTGAAGTTTGTACAACCCTCCCATGCAAACTTAGGAGAGCTTGTTTGTCTGAAGAAGACATCACCGTGCAATTTCCTATGGGCACCCAAGCATGAGCTTGGATGTTGCTTGACATATCAAAAACTGCATCCATCCTTTTACTGGCTCTCTGCACAATTCCTTCCTCCATCATCTTATCAAACTAATACATCTCAGTTGATTCTCACCCCCTTCCATTTCTTCACAATCCTACTTTTTCTGCTATAGCTTGCTCTCATCTGGGTCTGCTCTTCTCTCCAGCAGATCCTGGCTCTTCCCCAGGATGAACAGACCTTTAGTTTTTCCCTTTTCTCCCCAGGTCTTCAGCTCTCAAGGGCTCAACGGGCTGAGATTGGCACCTCTGTACTGGATGCCTCCAACCTCCTGAGCCAAATCCCAGTCCCTGAGAGGGCTGCGTATGATGTTGTCTTCCTGGTGACGGGACTACCAGCTCATGGGCAGCTCTTGGTGGCTAGTGAGCCCCTGGAGAGGTCACAGCCATTCTTCTTGCAGTCAGACCTGGCTGCGGGGCGCCTGGCATATGCCCACGGTGGGGATGGCATCTCTGAAGACCATTTCAGATTTAAGGCGTGGCTCCGGCCCCGGGTGCAGCAGTCCATCCGTCCTCCACAGGAAGGAATAGTCATCTCTGAAGCTTTCAATTTAACAGTGACCACCAGCAGCAGCAGGCCACCACAGGTATTGAAGCGGCTAGAAGTGCTGCGGGTCCCACCAGGCTCTGTGGTGACCTTGTCCCAGGAGTACCTGGATGTGGCAGACCCATCAGGATCTCCGGAGGAGATGGTGTACAGTGTCCTCCAGAGACCTCTTGCTGGCCACTTGGCCAATGTCCACAACCCACGGGAGTCCATCAACCACTTCACCCAAGCAGATGTCAATGCAGGCCATGTGGTGTTTGTTGCCACCAAGAGCCATGACCCAGGATCCTTAGCCCTGAGCCTCTCTGATGGCCACCACCCACCCACATTGACCTCACTGGAGATCGAGGTGCTGCCTGCAGTGAGCACTGCTGCCAGCCCAGTGCTGCTGGAGGTGCCCCAAGACCTGAACAGGGCATCCATGTCCCACCATCACCTCCTGGGAGCCACACAGCTTGGTGCAGGCAACGCCCTGTACAGGATCACCAGGGATCCAAGGTTTGGCCAAGTGCAGGTCAACCAAAAGCCATCGCAAGGCTTCTCACAGAGGCAGCTGGACCGTGGGGAGGTGATGTTCACCTTCACAGACCTCACTTCTCCCGAGGATGACTTCCAATTCCTCGCCATGTCGCGGGCAGCAAACAGGACTGGGGTGGTGAATGTGACAGTCCGTGCCTTGGTGAAGGCTCGGCCAGGCAGCGTGTGGCCCAGGGGCACCACAGCCCTCCTGGACACCAGTGTCCTTGATGCCAGTGAGCTGGCTAACCTCACCAAGAGCATCCCAGTCTTCAAGATCCGCAGGGCACCCCGTGCCAGCCGTCTTGTGAGGGTCTCCAGGGACCCAGGACAACCCACCACCCTGATCGAGACATTCAGCCAGAGCGAGCTGGAGCAAGGGCTGGTTGGGCTGGAGATTCTGGATGTCGGGGAGACTGACCAGCCCCTGCAGAGCGACAACTTCATCTTTGAGCTGGCGGCCACTGGCGTGCCACCTGCACTAGCGTCCCTGGGGTACAGCATTGAGCCCTACAACGCCTCAAAAGCCTACGGTGTCACCCTGCTCATGGCCCCCTTGGCACCTTCACCCCCGGTGTCACAGCCCCAAGGCACAACATGGAATAGCCCCAACACCAGCGAGCTGGGCATGTCCCCCACCCCCTGGCCAGGCCCTGGTGCTACCACCAGCCCTAGCCCTGTGGAGGGTGGCACCTTTCTCAGCTTCATCGAGGCCAACATGTTCAGCATCATCATCCCCATCTGCCTCATCTTCCTCCTGCTGGCTCTCATCCTGCCCCTGCTCTTCTACCTGCATAAGCGCAATAAGACAGGGAAGCACCATGTCCAGGGCACCCCCTCCTCCAAGGCCAAGAACGGGGCTGTGCCAGACCAGGAGACCTTCCGGAGGACGGACCCCAACCAAGGCATCCCCCTAACGACTGTCAATGCCCTGGAGGGCAAAGGCACAGGTCCCCCACCCCAAGGCACGGGTCCCGGGGCACCGCCGGACCCTGAGCTCCTCCAGTACTGCCGGACTTCCAACCCTCCCTTGAAAAACAATCAGTATTGGGTGTGAAGGGCTCAGGTGCAGGGGGACGAGACCACCTGGGGGTCCAGACCCTCCTAGAGCATCGCTGTCCACCTCCTCCCAGCTCTCCTCCTCCTCCCTGGAAGCTGGCACCCCGCAGATGCAGGAAGGCCCTGGCGATAGAGGGGCTGCTGGTCCAGTCCACCCAGGAGCTTCAGGTGGCTTTGGGCAGGGCAGGGGGACACTGCATAAGCACACAGGGGCAGGAAAAATGCCTGAGCACACCTGGGGAATGCTGATTTTGGGTGCTCATTTGGGTCACTCAACAGTTGCCACAGCGCTGGAGGGGACCTGATGGCACCAGTCCCCACCGAGCCACCCCGGGCAGGTCCAGTGGCGGCTCCTCCGTGAGCAGCACTGACAGCTGTGTTTGCCACAGCTCTTGGCGTGAGAGGGAGGATGAGGAGCAGCTTGCGCTGAGTCAGGCTGGGGATGAAGCTGCCCAAATCCCCCAGGGCTAGGCGGGCTGAGACACTGGAGCAGAGGCTCGGAAAAAGCTCTGTGGCCAATGCCGGGGGAATTTAAGGAGTCCCCACCCACTTGGAAAAAAACCCGCCTTGCTCTTCCTCTGCGTGCTTGCCATATGTTTCATAAAGCAGATTGCACCGAGCCCCGGGGGGGTTGCACAACAGGTAGGGTGCCCTCGGCAGGGAGGGATGGCAGGAGCTCACCTGGGCAGCGTGAAACCAGAGGGGAGAGCGAGAACCAGAGCCAGCATGGTTTTCCACTGTATACTCCAGTACGGCAGAAGTAAACAGAATAAAGTGCCTTTTCCGAGGTGCATCATGGTTTTTGTAAGCGGTCTCCCTTGCCAGGCCTGTTTTAAGCCTAGTGAATTGCCGAGTGACATTTGGAGGTAATGGACCAAATTCTGGGCTCTTGCTCAAATTTTCCTCAGCCTGGAGTCCTGAAAACTTAAGTAGAAACTGTCTGAGGAAGAGCAAGGGAAAAACTGAGCACTGAGCTCAGGACGGGACCCAACAATAATACCCCGCATTGCTACAGCTGGGAAGCTCATCACAGGGCACAGCCCGCTCTCATAACATCAATGGGAAACGAGCCCATGATGAAATGAAATGAGCCCCCAGGGACCACAGGGGATGTTTTACATTTGCACACCCCCCTCACCGAGTGTAAAATCCATCCCACCATCCCTCTCCAGACCAGCACCCCAGGGCAGTCCCACTCCAAGGCTGCGACAGAGCAGGCATGTTTGCTTGGACCATGCCAGCAGTTTTCCTGGCTGCTTTTACGGTGCCAAACGTTTGCCAAGCGGTAAATCACACCTGCCCCACTCCAGCTGAAGGGTGCCAGCACGTCCCACTGGGCACCCACAGACATCAGGGTGCAGGCAGGCAGCCCCCTGTCCCCAGCCCCAACTTGCCTCGTGGCATGGGCAAGACTGGGCATGGCAGAGGCGCCCCCCCCAGCCGCTCCAAGCCCTCTTGGCCCAAGGCAGCCTGGGCCGATGGATGCCAAGCCCACACTCTGCTGCCTCCTTCCCTGCTGCAACCTCGCCACCTCCAAACCCCTCCTCCTGCCCCATCCAGAAGCGGGTGGAGGGGGAAGATATTTCCTTTTGCTCAGAGGCAAATTGCATCCTCCCCGCTCTGTAAAATGGGGACAGTGCAACCAGGCTGCTCACGTCACAGCTCAGAGCTTGCCAGGGCAGTGCTGCTCCCAAAAGGTTGGGACAACCTCTCCCTGCAGAGCAGAGCAACCTCTCCCTCTCCCGGATCACAGCTCCACGCCTGCCGCGTCACATTCAAACAAGCACATTGATTATCTTTGCTAAGTACACATGCCCCAGCGAGGGATGGAGGTTTGCAGCGAAGCTGGTGGCATCCACCGAGGGCCCCCTTGGAAGCATCCGACGTGTTTTCCTTTCGAATGATTTTTGCCTCGCACCCAGGGATTAAATAGAAGGAACGTGGCCTATTTTGTAAGGAGCACTGAAAGCGAAGCAGGTTATTTTTAAGGCTTGCAGTTGTATTCCTTCTGCTGGGAAACATCCACTTCCCGAGGTCAGGGGAGGACAGTCAGTAACCTGGAAAACGCCAGTGCAGATCACAGATCTCCAGGGCCAAGCTCTGCTGGCAGGGTTTAAATCCTGAGCAAAGCTGGTGGCTCCACTTGGGTTATTTGGTGTTTGCAGCAGGATGGCTGGGGCAGGATCAGGCCACCCAGGGAAGGGCTGAGGGTCCAGGTGGGCTCCTGCCCGGACACCAAACAGGCAAACCGCAGCCCAGACAAGCTCAAGAGTTTCCTGGCGAGGCCGTTTGTCTTCCCTGCGTCAGGAGCTGGCACCGCATCTCTGCCTTCCCCGGAGTTTCCCCTGCTCACCCGTTTGTGCCAGAACCACTCTGATCCAGGAGGTTTTTGGGGTGACAGGAGCTGGGCTGCACCCTTCCCTGCTGAGCTGGTTATAAAGCTTGCAGAGGTTTAGGGAAGATCTTACAGCTGCTCTACTAGCTGTGCTGTCCCCTCCAAGGCAGGCCAGATGTGCACAGCTGTCTGACAAGAGCCAGCCATGCCCATGAACTCACACGCCCTATTCTAGGGGGGCCAATACTAGGTCTCCCCCCAGCACCTCCCCACCTCCTCTTGTACCTACAGCCGCTGGTGTTTCCCCAGCCTGGGGATCTCACACCCACATCCCTCCTCTGCCTTCTACCCACAGTTCTAAAGCAAGAAAAGCCACCTAGAGCGAAATTGCTGTCCCCAGGGAGCCCCTGCCCCAGGACATGGCCAAAGCCATTTCTTCCGCAGCACCACCAAGCTGAGCCTCCTGGCTCACCCCAACTGCAGACTGCAGGCAGGGGACCTTCCTTCTCCCCCAGTCCTGCCGTGGGAGAGGGGGTCACAGATGTGTGCTGCCCAGGAGGGAAATGTCCCTGCCCGTGGTGGCAAGGAGGCATTGCTGTGCCCAGGTTGTGAGTGCAGAGAAATGCAGGGTTGGCATGGAGAGGGGACATCAGGCATGGGAGCACCAGGAATGGCAGAAGGGCTGTAAGAAGGTGTTGAGGGCACCTGGATCAACAGGTCATCAAGACCTCCTGTACATCTACATGCAGCTTCTGAGGACACCTGGGTCAGGAAGAGGCAGGCCAAGAGGAGAGCCAGCCCACAGCCAGGCTAAAGCAAAGACTCAAGTCACTAAGGGGTGGCAGAAAGCAGGGCAGGAGCCAGAAGACATCCAGATACAAAGGACAGCGAGCAAGTTGCGGTGACTTACAGAGGTGTGACAGGATGGAGAGGACAGACCATACTTACCACCACCTCCTAAATGGTGGCGTGTCAAAAGCAAGGATACCGCCAAGTAGAGCCACCCAGGAGGTGCAAGGAGGACTTAATAGCTGGTGTCCCTTGTCCTCTGTGTCACCTCCAGACACCCCAAGGTGACCACCTGGGTAAAAGCATCTCAGTGCCTGACCACCAGATGACCTGGCCAGTCACACAGGGTCTCACAAGTGGCAAAAATGCCAACGAGTTTCACTTCTACTTTGCTCTTAATTTAAGAGGTCACCTTTGCTTCCTCCAAGCCCCAGAAGCAGGGAGTTTCTCCTCCTCCGCTGGGAAGCCCCTGCAGCTGGATCCCAGGGCAGGATGTGGCCTGGGTTGGATCCATTGGGAAGCCCCCACAGCCCTGCTGGGATTTCAGCCCAGCACTGGGGTTAATGTTCCAATTTGAGCTCAGATAAGGCAAAGCAGGAGGAGCAGCACTGTTGCACAGCTCAGGGAGAAGGCAGCCCCACTGGTCCCCAGGCAGGGATGGCAGGGCCGGGCTGTCCCCAGCTGCAGGGAAGGGGCACATTTAAGTGACGCCCTGCTGCAGAATCCAGCCTGGAAGCAGCAAGGAGAAGAGAGTAAGAGCAATTTTCCCCTGCTGTTTCCTCAGCAGACCCACAGTGCCTTTAAAGCAGCTGGAAAACCTCCTCTTGAGTTACCCAAAGTCCTCTGGAAGTTCCCCTAGCCCCATCCTGCGCTGGCCATGGGTGCAAGCACCACAACAAGGCAAAGCTTCCCCAGGCCACACAACTGCCTCGGGAAGAGAGAAGGCGATCATAACCCTATGGCCATCTCCCAGGCATCGCATCTGCGACAGGCTGGATCCGACACCTCTCCTGGGTTAATAACAATACCAGCACGGTGGTACCAGCTCAGCGAGGGCCAGCATTCGGCAGGAGCTGGAGACACCAGGGCTCACAGGTGAGGATGGACACAGAGCAGGAGGGGAATCTGTCACAGCTCCGGTGACGTGAGTCGGTTTCCAGGCACCTATTCAAATGCAAACAAATAATAATAGGCCAAACCGGTTTCTTTCAGCTTCTCTCTCCAGAGCAGATAGGATCATTTGGCTTTGAAACCCTCCCCACAAGCTTTAGCCATGCAAATACAGGGGTTCAACAAGTGAGGGACTTTATTCCCAGCCAGGCTTCAGGCCAGTACATCCAAGCCCTGCACAGGAGACTGGGACCTACGTAAGCATCATGTCCACAGCCTCCAAAATCCTCTGCTGCCTCTAAAATCCTCTGCAAGTGCATGAGCTCCCTGAGCTCACACAGGAAGTCCCTCTCTGTCTTGGGGAGGCAAAACATGGTCCCAGGGCTCCTGCCTCCCCATTCCCATCCCAAAACCTCCCTGGCAGCTCTCACCAGCCCCAGGAGATGCTCTGGATTTCGCTGGGAGCCAAGAAGAGTGTGCTGGAGTCCCCACAGGGGACACAGGTCATGCAGAGAGGTCTCCAGGAAACCCTGTCTGAGAAGGCAGGAGGACACCTATTCCTCCCAAGGCAGGTGAAGGACCTGACCAAGGGTGGCCAGGTCCTCCTAGGAGATGCCCCACATGGGAAACTCTGAGCCAGACTTCAGGCTGGCTGCCGCGCAGCGTGGCGAGGCTCAGCCCCTTCACTCAGCTCAAAGCCAGGCCCAGCACCCCGGGTTGCTCTGGGAGCCCTCCCTCCCTGCTACGTGCCTGCCTGATTTCAG